CCTCATTTACTATAATTACATTTTCTAAATTAAGTTTCGTTTTTCTGCACTCTTTTTTTTTTCTTTCTTCCATTATCTTTTTTATAACCTGATCGTTCCAGACTAAATATATTATTCTGTCCCATCACGCATCACTTTCCGCTCGGGGGAAACACGTGGAATGGAAAAGAATTAGACATTTGAAATGAGTTTGAGACATTTCAAATGAGTTTTCACGAAACATTATCTCCAAAATCTGAATAGTTTTTACTGTTATTTCTCTATCTGAAACAAAAGTCTTGTCCATACTATCCACTTTTAGATAAGTGGTTCTTCCAAAGTAGCATCTAAATAGACGAGATTTCTCAGCATTCGCCGAAGGAAAATAAATGTCAAACGTTGTTCCATCTTAACAACGGATATAAAATGTCGATATATTTTTCTCTATTCTTTCTTTGCTTCATCCTAAAACAGAAACCTTCCTACATTTTCGACTTTACACTGTTCGGACTGTTGTTCTTATCATTTTTGTCATAATCACAATGTTTCGGCCGTTGTACGCTCCGGCCTTCGTCAGATGTTTGGAATTTCGAAGAACCTTCTAATTCCACGTGCCATGCTTCTTCCGGATGTCTCAGTATAAGTTATTTCTCTTTAACTGAAATCTTCAAGTTATTGTTCACCTCTACTATGACTAGATATTGAACACTTTGGGTCAAGTCACTGGATTACTACAACCAACGCTTTTATCCACTGGGTCATGTGTCCTTAAGATATCAGGGTATGAATGTTTGGGACTTAGAAACCTAATGTCTCAGTTTCATTTTTTTACCAGAGCTCATATCGAAATTTTTTTGTTAACATTATTTTTCTCTAGCACTCCGATGTAATGGTTCTATATTCATGTCTATGTTTGATCGGCTTAGGAGATTTTTCTGGCCAAGCATATGCGCTGATTTCTTAAGTTTTCGTATTTTTCAGTGATGGCCTCTGTCTCTTATTTCAAGCTCATCCCACAGGAGGAAGGTTATCTCCCTTTTCCATCCATAAATTGTCCGAAAAATGTTAATAGCGTAAATAATTACAATAATTCATCTCAGAAATATAGACAGAAATAATTTTAGTGTTGGTTGTTTTCACATAATAAACGTAGCTTCGAAAATGTTTATCTTTGTTTATTTACAGTTTCTTTTTCTTTTTCATTTTTTTTTTTTTTTTGTTGTTGAGTTAAAAAAGTTATTGAAGTGGAAATATGACAAATAATTGACCAATGGGGAACCAGATGATTTCAAGATGGACTTCCTTTTAGAAGAATGTAAGTTAGCCCACAAGGATTGAACCGCGGTTTGCTTTTGAATTTGTTTTCTATTCATTCTTTTTCATAAGCTATAAATATTATTTTTCTTCTTTTATTTTTTTTAATCATCACTGCTTTGCTTTATTTTTCTCTTAACTACATTTTTTTCTCTTACCTATATTTTATTTTTTCATTTAACTACAAAATTCTATCATTTTTCCATTCTTTTTCCTTCCTCGTTCGTTTCCTTCTTTTCTACATCTCCCTTGGTTACTCCTTCTTGCTATACTATTTTTGACGTCGGACTGTTGAAAAGTCGACATTCAATGTCGAAAGATTGGGCTCGTCCCTGTGCAACGTCCCTCTTATATTAATTAACATTCACGCAAATATTAATGTGCAATTCCCCTATTTTGCAAAACCATAAGCGTCTTATAAACGATAGTTAATCAAGAACAGTGCATTTATGTGCCTGCTTTGTAATGTATCACAGAATATATATATATATATATATATATATATATATATATATATTGCTAAGTAGCTTTTATCGGTAATGTTTTCATAGAATTATTTCCCTTCGGTGGTGGCAGTGGTGGCTGGTGGCAGTTACCTCCCTTGCAGTGGTGATGCCTAACAACGGCAATCTATCTTAAGATGTTAACGAAAATGAAAGGTGAAAAGACCGACACCGTAAAAGAGCAACGTACCACATAATCATGAAAACAATATATTTAAAATGTCTATTATTACGGCATGGATAAATTAATCACTATATAAATAAGTGGTTCTACAGAAGGATGCTGAGAATACCATGTGAGCAAAGATGAAATTTTATGTAAAATGGAAACAAAAAGGACTTATAATTAGGAAAAGACAGTTGACGTTTGTCGGGTACATAATGTGGAAAGAGGATTTGGTGAATTTTTCAAGATATATTGAAGACAAGAAGGACAGAGGAATGTAGCCAATAAGCCACCTAGCGTGCTTGTGCAAATAATTGGCATAACAAGAGGTTCGGAGAGGTAGCAAAAAGACAAACCTTACTTAAAGCTACAAAGAACAGGATGTTGTGGAGAACCACAATTGTCCATGCCTTGAGGAACATGACACATAGAAGGATTTGAACAAATAAAAAGCTACACAACACACACCCATTATATTCAATAAAAATAATTGACGCTATAATATTTCTTGTGGTAAGAGCCAGTTACCCTCTTTACTATCATGAATGGACTGATAAGTTCATGATAAGTAATCCTGGGTAATTGTCTAGAAGAGAAGGTAATATTACTGGAAATCTTCGTTATGGTACCTCTGTAGTGGGAGTTCTTTTTCCGTCCAGGGGTTAGTGCCTGACGTATTTTTCCCACGCTCCGAAACTTTTTTGTGAAAACTGTAATTATTTACGTTAAGTTACGTTAGGTTGAGTTCATGTTTTTTTAATTTTTCTTGCGTTCATTACTGACCGTTTTTTTCCCAAAATGTTCAAATTTTCTTTTTCAGTTTTTTCGCCCTCACCCAGTTTTATTTTATCTTTTTGTACAGCTTTTTTATTGGGCTTTGATTTACTTTATCTTTCAAGTTATATAGATTTTTTTTCTTTCAATTTTGTATTCCCCGCCCGATATTAATTTCATTTTATCTTTTTATAATTTAATTTTGTCTTTTTATGATTTAATTTTATCTTATCATAATTTTTGTTTACCTATTATTTCTACGAGTTACTTCGTTCTTTGTTTTTTGACGTCCTATGTTAATTGTTCTCAAAACTTCTGTGTTTTATTTTCTATCTTAACTTCTCATTTTTATTTGTTTAATCTGCTTTTGCTTTTTTTTTTAATTTTATTTTCGTGTAACGTTGTCTTTTTTGTTTTGGTAAGACTTGTTTCTCGTGCAACGGCAGTCATTTTAGTTTAAGTCGTAAGATTTGTTATTTTCACGTGTCTCGTTTTTGTAGTATTTTGTTTTCATAATTTGTTTTAAATTTTTACTGTTGTAATTCTTAAAAAAGACCTTGTTATACATTTAATTTTACGCTTTTTATTTCTTTTTACTTTAAACGTCTAACGTTTTTTCTTGCCTATCTTACATTCTGAAATTTTCTTTTTTTAAGTAACCTTTTTTTGCACATTCAACCGTTTTCATTTTATCTTGCTAAATTTGTTTTGTTTGTATTTCCTTTTTTCTGTTGAAGGAATTTTTTTTATTTATTGGTCTAAACGTTTTGCCTGTATTTATCTTTTCTTCTTTTCATGTTTTTGTTTAATTAATTTGCTTTCGAAAAAAAATAGGTTTAAAAGCTTGCTTTTTATATTATTATAATAAAAAGCAGGAAAAATGCAGCTGACAAATTTAAGTCGGCCCAAAAAATCACAAAAGATGAAAGACCCTCCAGATAAGTTTAAAGAAAAAGATGAAAACAATGAATCTACCACGTTGAAAGACCAAGATTTGAAAGAAAGTATGGTGGTCGAGATTACACAAAATTTGGAGGAGATCAAAAAACTACAAAAGCAACTGACCAAGAAAAGAAAGCAGAGAAATGTATGGTGGCCGAAAATACCCATAATTTGTAGGATAAAGACAAGAGTAATAACAAAAAAACGAAAACTTAGCGATCGGGGAGACACCCTCTTGCTGGAAGTTCCCACAGAAGTGTATAAACAACATGACCGATTTCCCCGAGAAAGCAAAAAAATACACACATCTTATCACAGAAGATAGGATTTTGGCAAATCCCGTTGAATTGCAGAGAAATTGTGTCAGTCTTTGTGGTGGACAAGCGTTCGCGCAAAATTTCTCGCTTCACCATCATAAAATCGTTGACGTCCCTGCGGGTCAAATCTCAGAGAGTCATAAAAGGAAAGAGATTTTTCATATGGGACGTATTGTTATCCATGCCTGCTGACTGTGAAGCTGCATCCAGTTGGGACCTAATCACTAAATATCTCATTCTGAGAATCGAATATGAGAGCAGGCGTAGGACCAATATCAGTATTTGACGTTCCTCCTCAGATTGTTGGAAAGCACTTGGCCCGCCTATCATTCCAAATTTGGACAGATACTCAGTGCTTCCTCTGATGAACTGACCGAGGAGATGGAGCTTCGAGTTGATGATCGATCGCAAAGCCTTTGTCTCTATTCCCAATTGCCTGGATGTAGAGGACCAGAAAATTCCGGTCATTGTGACCGACCGCAAACCAACTTACTGGTAGGGTGGAGAAACTGCTCACCTCTTCTCTTCCTGCACAGGGAAGAAGGCCTCTGGGGTTCTGACCCCCGCCGACCTAAATCCCCCTTTGATCGAGTCTGTTATTTCCGTCTTGCTTGTAATGGCCATGCCATCGACCGGAACCGGTGTGGTAAAACCCACGGTTGTGTCAGTCTCACGGCCCCCATTCCCCGAAAAGATCTTGCCCGCCGCTTGTGCGGTTGCGGAGAAGGAAGAGGGGGAATGGCAGGCCGCTAAAGCTGCGGGCAGCAAGACCTCGCCCCACTGAAGCCCCTACGACTAATAACAAAAAAACATTCCCACTCTATCTACCAGTTCCAAGAGATCAGATCATCTACAGCAAAAACTTAAATATGAGCCATTCTTTGAGAAAGCGGAAAAACTGCATCAACTAAAAGAGGCTCTAAAAGAGAATCGTCTTCAATCTGCTATAAGAACTGGAACCTCTTCCTCGGCATCGCCTTCCCTTTCTACATGACACCGCCTCCAATGGTTGAATCCATATCGCCTACGCCTTCTAAAACGACCACCTTTGTGACCGCCCCACGGCTTTGGATCGGCCTTCCGGGAACCAGACCACGAAGGTCCCTCGTCCCGGAACGAATCCTTCGTCGACAACGACAAGGCAGGTAGCTAGAAGCCGGTCTCTGAGTCGACTCCACCCACAGTGAACTCCATTGCCCACGCTGTGAATTTGATCTCAAGGAAGCCACGTGGGTTTTCGCCAGGTGTCTAACAATTGGGTGAATGAAACGGCACCAAATATAAACAGAACAACGCCTGAGTACGTTGTAGAAAAGAAAGTCTTTATATACAGAAGAATTCGGAGTGCAATCACCAATTGTCTTCTTCCCAACCCCTGTTCCTAACAAGCTGACCACGGAACGGAAGTCTCGACTAATTTCTTTAAGGAGTGATTTTCAAGTTTTCTGGTTGGCGTTATTTCTTCACTCCCGTCGGAGTTCTTGGCTGGCGTTATTTCTTCACACCGAAGCCTCACAGAAACTGACGAAGACTGTCTGATTGTTGCGGAGGTTGGCGGGCGGCGGTGTTGGTACCTCAAGCCTCACTCTTCGGCTATTCTCCGGCTCTAACTGAACTGCAACTCAACTGTACTGCAACTGCAACTGCGCACTCGTTACCCCCTAGGGGCTCTGTATTTATGCTTGTTCATCCTTTACTGGGATGGGGACGACGGTCACTGGGGTGTCTATGTGAACCTCATCTCAGACCCTTGTTAGCCAATGAAATTACGTTGCGTGCATCGCGTGTGAGGCTTTTCATGGTTACTTTCAGAATCTGTTCTCCAGGCGTCCCGGTATGAGCAATGCGCAGTTCGATGTCTAGGATGTCGGAAGGAATACGCCCGTAAAAATTTCCAATCCATAGAATTGTGCACTCGTGCGAGAACGAATGCTCCGTCCCTACCTGTTTATCCTGAGGCGAGTGCTCCTTCTCTCTTGAATGTCGTATTGCTCTGAAACACCTCCTATGTGCGTTGGATGGCCTCTCCAACGTCCAGGCGTTGTCCCGAAGTGTATTATATCATGTGTCCCGTTGTGCATAGTTTATTGAAGGCATCATAGTTAGCATGTTGCGCGGAAAGATTTTTTTTTTTTTTTTTTTTTGTCCACGAGGCCAGTTCTGTCTGTAGCAATGTGGTACCGCCGTTGACGAAGGCTGAACACTATGTGTTCTTTTGCTTTCTAGGTGTTATGAGAGTCGTGATTTGGGCGAGAAGTTCACTTCTTCCCAACTGATCTTGTACTTTAAGCATCAGTCTACGGGGAAATTTTGGCCGAGACTACGGGTTCGGATACCCCACATTAAATTCGGCCTCGTGCCACATCTGACCGCGTGAGGCGGTTGGTAGATATCCTGCAGTTGGATATTCATTGTGGGATTCACTTGACTCACTTTTAGCAGTTGACTACTTCTTCTATGCGCCTCTGGCGAATCTTATATGTGTTGTTCTTCTCCTGAGTTATTATCGTTCATTAACAACCTTCGTGCGATTATTCTATTCAGTAACCTTCCCTAGGTTACAACGCTTAGCTAGGGAATGTATGCTCATTGGCCCCTTTTATTTCTGTCCTCATTTTCTTTATTTTAATTTACCTTCCCTCCTCCTTTGGATGACCAGAGACGTCAGTTCCTTGCTAGACGCGGAATGCCTTCCGTTTTTTCGAGTGTGAGTTTCGTATTCATTGTTGTGTTTAAATGAATGTGTCTTTCAGTGAGTGGTTGGATGAATGAGTGTTTTATATTACTAAAGTCCAGTTAACTGATGTTTTTGCTACATTTAAGGATCTTGATGGTGGGGATTACTGACACTATTTTATTTAGTTTCTTGTACATAAATTATGCCATATTGTAAATACACATTTGGGCTTAGATTTTAAATTGCTGTTTTATTCCCCTCTCCACCACAGACAAGAATTTTATATATGGAGACTAGTTAGGACTTCATAGAGATTCTGAGGTACCATGGCGGATGTAGTAATAATGCTAAGAATACGATGTGTTGGTGTTAGGAATATTGTCGTACGTTCGGGTCAGTGATGGTGGCTAGCTAAGTTTAATGTTAATCCTTTGAGCTCTGCATTCCTGATCAATTTTAACCCTTCTGCCTGAACTCCTGTGTCAAAATTCGCAAATAATTGGTATGTAATGTTTCACGGTAGATATAAAAAATAGTTACAAGTGTTTACCCACCATTCAACCGGGAGCTGGGCATTAAGTCATTATTTTACCACTGTTCAACCGGTGGCTGGGCATTACGTCATTTTTCTCTACCACCGGTAAAGCGGTGGTCAGGGCTCCAAGGACTAAGACAGAAGACGAACATCCTTTTTCTCCATTCCCCATTTGGCCCTGTGCCTCAATTTTGTATTTTTTTACAAAATAAGTATAGAAAATAATTCTATTGCAGTGATTTGTCTAGCTGTGTATTCACTATCAGGATGGTTGAGTTAAGTGTTGTTTTGTCAGACCCCACATCACAACAATATATACGCACACAAGTTGATAATAATTATTTATCCATCCATTCTATCATCAATTACGACTGAATACTGTGTACGATTTTCACTGGGGTTTTGTTTTTTTTTTCTTCTTTATTTATCCTCTGTCTTCTCTGCCTTTTCCTTCTCTTCATCAAATTCTTCTTTAGGCATCAGTCTACGGGAAATTTTTGGCCGAGACTATGGGATCGGATACCCGACATTAAATTCGGCCTTGTGCCACATCTGATTGTGTGGGGCGGTTGGTTGATATCTTGCAATGGGAGATTCATTGTAGGATTCACTTAACTCACTTCTAGCAGTTGGCGACTACTTCTACGCACTTCTTTTTTTTACTACTAGTTCTTCTTCGCTACCCTCTTCTCGTAACATTTATTCTCTTAGTCTTCATCCTATCATTCTTCTTCTTCTTCTTCTTCTTCTTCTTCTTCTTCTTCTTCTTCTTCTTCTTCTTCTTCTTCTTCTTCTTCTTCCTCCTCCTCCTCCTCCTTCTCGTCTTTTTTCTTGCAACAATCATAATTTTTCCATTTTCCAACTTTTATTTTTCTTCTTATATTTTTTCTCCTCTCCCTTTGTCTTGTAAACCCTCTCTTCTTTTCTCTTTTTTTCTCGTTCTTATTCAAGCGTCAAATTTATTTGTTAAGAATTCCTTATCATTGCCAGACAGGGGTTATCATTTTTTCATAATTACATCTTTATGATCACTTACTGGTTCTTTTTGTTTGTTGTCTTCTTTTTAGGACTACGAGTTTCCTTAATTTGTTTCACTTTTTTCTATTAAGATGAATTTCAATTCTATTTACTTATTCTTCTTTAAGTTTATTAGTTTATTTTTTACAAAAATTACAAGCATCAACACAGACTACTTACAGCCATATTGGTTGAAATACCTCAACGAACAGAAGGCATTAACAAAATTCAATACAATTTTCTTTTTATAAACTATATTGACTATCAAAATGTTTTGAGTGATATCTCTGTTCGAAAATTGTCTATTGGACAAGATTTTTATCTCCGGTTATTTTCTTACTACTGTATTTTAGTCTTGTTGATCCAGAGATGAAATTATTAACTTTTACAGGACAGAGAACGATTAGTTATAAGAATCAACAAGCTTGGACTAAAATAACAACAGCTGCTAACCTCGCCAAAGTAATTGAATTCTATCAATTCTATTTAGTTTCCTATATGGGCGGGGGCGTTACTTTTTATGCAAGTCTACAGAAAACGTTGAGTACTTTACACCGTATTGTTTCGTTCTGCTTCCTTCAAACCATTTCCTTCGTTCCAACTGATACCTTTCCTCCAATGAAATTATTTAAACGCCCAAGAATCACTCTCGGAATTCAATGTCTAACTCTCGCTCTAAAAACACTTAACCAGATTAACGGTTAATAGCAGTAAGTTATTTTCGCTCATTGAGTTTGGATTATCCACCTGTGCACTCTCCTTCTCATTCCATTATCAGCAATGATCATTAAGTTAAAAAGTGTGCGTATATAAATATAACTATCAAAATTACTATTTTTTTAATATATATATATATAGTCATTCACAGACAGACTGTTTTGCAACTAGATTTTTTAAGGAAAAAAATATTGCCAGAAATAGATTTTACCAACAATGAAAAGATTGATATGCCGTAAACCAAACCAAACCAATGATTTCAGAGATTATTTAACATTCACTGTTATATTTTGTTGTAATTTGGAACGATTGCATCAAATGTTAGTACTGGCCAACAACATTGAACGGTCAGAATCCAAGCCTGCCACCGGGTAACGCAAGATTTTATAATTTACAAGCCACCCAGCAAAACCTGATGATACAGTAAGACATCGAGGTCCTTCAGCACCTTCCCTATTCAACTTATATACCTCCCTTACTAATTACCCTATTCCGGATCTCATACGCACTAGAAGGTGTACACCAAATCGAAATGAGTTTAAAAATATACTGTTTGACGACTCTTATTTTTTATTGCGATAGAAAAATCGAATGGTTGGCAACAGTGTATCGATTCTAATGCTGCTAACTTTAACTAATAAAATTGTGTTTGAATCGAGTTATAATGTTTTAAAGTTCTCAGTATCCATTTCCTAAAAGTGACGTCAGATAGAATTCGAATCTAGACTGTTGCCTGCATTTAAAAGAAAACAAAAAAAAACACTCGGCTCACTGAAGCAAACGGCGCAGTGTTCTACTCTCGAGAATAGAAAATAGAGATAAAAGCGGAATAAAGATAAAAATAGTAAAGAAAGCTCTCAACTTTAAAGATAACGATTAATAGATTATGAGCGAACAAATAATGGGGAAATTGTGACACTTAGCGTTAACCAGATGCATGTGTTCGTAGCATAGCGATAAATGACACAAGAAATTTTGAATCGTTGACCCGAGCTCAATTTCTAGTCGAGGCCGTTGCTTTCACTTTCACGCAAATTCCCTAGGAAAAGTATAAATTCACCCCTTCTCTTCCTGCTATATGTTTTTTTTTATTGAATCGTTTTCTACTGCTTTTGCAGGTTAAAGCCAGAAAATATTTTTATTTTGTAAAAATTATTTTTTGAGATAATGTTTCTCGTGATACAAGTCTTACTAATTAACCCATAGCTAGGGGTAAAAGAGGTGGATTCATATCTAATCATAATTAGATAAAGAAAAAATTGTGTGAATATAAAATGGGGGATCAATTCTATATTAAAATCAATATATAAACTGATCCCTCACTTTGTGGCCACAGTAGTTTCTATACATTTATATTCTAGAGAAAAAAATCAATCTAAAACAGGTGCCTGTGTAGTAGTCAAACAGTATGTTAATTTCTTATTCTTATTCTTATTCTTATTATTATTCGAAAAGCCAGGTATAGAATTTTGTAGTATTACATAATGGTTTAGTAACATAATCTTACTAATTAACCCATAGTTGTGGGGAAAAGATGTGTATTCATACATTTCCCAAGGGTATTTTCGCGTAAGTGAATATAATGAACCTAAAGGGAACTAGAACTCGACTCTCTGATTAAGAATTCAGAGTCATTATCCATTACACCATCCAAGTTTACAGCACCTGGTATTCCCAAGCGGTCACTCTTCTACGTACTGCTCAGACTCGGTGATCGTATGGTAACCAGTGTTTCAACGTAATCTGGTTGTAAGCCCCTTCCAGCTATAGATTAAATAACAGATAAGCTGTCTGTCAGTATAGGAGAAGAATATATCTAAATTCAAAATCTATTGTCTGTGAGACTAGTAGCTCCATTTCGTTAATCTAACTTGCTAGGGAAACCACAGCCCCACCTTCAAAAGGGGTCTGCAGGCCCATAAAGAATATTCTTATTAATCAGTTTTTCACGTCATATTGTTTTATTTTAATGTCATGGATTTGTGTCGTTCAGTGTAAAACAATAAAGAATATAATGAAAAATACTAACTCACACAATTTGTAGTTTCGATTATTATTTTATTTATTTATTTTTAACTATTGTTCACCGAATGCAACGCCCAAGAGCCACTCAAGGTAGAGGGTTACTGAATAAAGTTATCGTAACGGCGTGCAGGGGGAAAGCACGAGGTGCAGATAATGGTTGACCCTCGAGTTGAAGAGGTTAAAATTGTACGATTGGGAGTCCGTTCCACAATGCAACAAATCTGAGGTAGAAACTACCAAAGTGGAACTTCCTCCTTCCCCCTACTGGAAAATGATGGGGATGCGAATGAGTAGTCTCATCATGGCGGACCCCAGTTGTGAAAGTCTGAACTGGTGGAGTCAAAGACCGCAGTTCACCGGAATATCTGCCATGAAAATGAGTGCACAGTGGATCAGATAAACTCTATAAAATGCTTGTAATGTGTGAATTATTCATTTAAATACATCAAGTTAAATTCTGCCTCTAATCAATGATTAAAGTCTACGAGAAAATTATGTTTAGCCAAAGATGCCAATTAATAATCAAAGAACTTCAGTTTAACTGCAATTTCCTTCAATGAAGACAACTTTTGAATCTTTTAAGAAAACAACAAACATTTAAAATGATAAAAAGTATGAGTATGATGTACTGAATGGCAGTAAAAAGAAAAGAAAATGAAAATTAACTAATTCTAATGCAAGCAGTCGATGAACCAATGTATATGCTATTATTTGGTTTCTAACAAAACTGAACATGGAGACAAAATAATAAGACAACATTCATGATCTATCGATGGAGACTGATTAACAGATTATGCAACTATTGTCTCCAGACAGGATAAGCCTAATATTTCAATATTTCCTTACTGGTCTATAAAAACGCTTTTGCGGGAAAATCTGGCCGCGTTCGTAGGGTGTGTGTGATTTAAACGAAAATTGGGTGGTAGGGAAAATAAATTTCCACTCGAATCTGTCCCCGCTGACAGCTAACGTGGAAAATGAAACAACACTTCGCTCGGAACTCTGTTTCCTGCACACCGTAAACAACAGTACTATCGCTCTTTCTAAGAAACAGGGGTATAACTGTCACCAGTCTCAAAGAAAAAATTCCATTGAAACAAAAAGTCAGTTCTTTTTATGCTTCCTCGGTCTCAGGTAAAAAAACGAGATCTCTTGCTTGTGTCAGCCTCATTCTCGCCGATAACGCATGCGCTATGTCACTTCAATATTGATTTGCCAGAGTTCGACTCGCACATCTATGATGTCTACAAGCACATGTACAGACAATTCGCCTTATCTTACTACGGCAAGGGTATCTATTCTTTTGCATACAGGCTAATGCTGTCTTTATTCCGGCTTCAAATTCGTACAAGAAGCATACTCTTACATTCAATATTTTGGGTGCCATATTGATTTCTTCAATTACTATGTACTATGTTGACACATTACGCAGAGCATTACGAAAAGACAACTTAAGCGGGCGTATATCTGCAAAAACATCATTAATCATCATCAAAAGAACATCTAAAATGGGATGCTAGAAAGTGGCAAAAAGTAATTTTCAGTGATTAATTCAAAATAGTTACATTCTAGTGCAAGGGAATAGGCAAGAAAACCAGCCGGAGAAGGAAACAATGCAAGTTACACCACAAAGACGGTAGAATTTGGTGGTAGACGCGTAATAGTGTGGGGTTGCATCAAAAGCGACGGCAGAAGAAAATTGGTAAAAGTTGATGGAAACTTAAACAGCGAAAACTCTATTAGTTTATTACAGTCTTATCTTCTGCCATATTATGAAAATGGAGAAATTTTTCAGCATGGCGATGCTCCTTTCTAAACATCGCAAAAGGTTTATTGTGAAGATGTTCAGCTTTTTGAAAACTGACTAGCACAAAGTCCTGGTATCAATATAATGAAACCATTGTGGCGGGGAAATGAAGAAATAAGTGCTCCAACGAAAACCTGTTCTCTGTCCCTCAAGCATAATCAAATGTACTGAAAAAACATGCTAAATTTTGCGGTAAAATTAACGAAATGAATTAATTTATCAAGCTGGCCCAAAAGAGTACATTATACTTCTCACCAGAAGAATGTCTTTTTTACCCGTCGCTTGAGAAACGAAAGAATACTAATATTCTTATAACGCTTCACTTCTTGTACGAAATGAGGATTGTGGGTGTGAAACAGCTATAAAATTCATAGCTTTACTGCTGGAAGGAAAATGAATAAAACAGTACATGGCGATGCTAAATTTGTGTTCTACTTTAACAGGTTACACTTTTATTTCTAATGTGATTTGAAATAGTGTTCATGTACAAAAAATAATTCTTCCAATATTATTAGACTGTTATATGCGTGACATTTTTTATTTCTTCCTTTTTTTTCCAAGCTATCGAATTCCGATAACTTATTGATTTATTCTCTTTTCGAAGTGCATTCTTGTCAGAACGGTCTTGTTTTTTTGATTTTTTTTTTTTTTTTTTTTTTGTTTTTGGTTTTGTTTTGTTTTTTTTTGTTTTTTGGGGTTTTTTTTGTTTTTTACCAAGGCTGCTGCTAACGCTTTTTAAAAAATAGATCTTATTGATTTCAGTTTAAATTCTAAAACACAGAAGAGAGAAGTAAGAGAAATAAAGTGATTCAACAAACTGACGTTTCTATTTTACCTCATTGTCACAGCAGTTGCATTATGGGAAACATACATTTTTCAGCTCGCACAACAGATTTCAATTTAATTATCTTTGTACGTTTGTTTTCCTGGAAAGTGTTAATTAAATATAACAAGGTGGTAAGGATCAATTCCATTTTTTCTAATATATATATATATTTATATATATATATATATATATATATATATATATATATATATTGTCATCTACAGACAGACTATTTCGCTGTATCACAGCTCATCAGTGTGGCTAAGCATCCGATTGCCTCAAGCCAGGATCGAAATTCGACTGATTTGACATCAATCGGAGATTTTTTCCCCTAAGCTATCGGCTCTCGGCCTGGTGAATTTTTATGTATTTATTTTGAATAAATACACCAGTGACTCAGAGCGCTCGATTCATGGAAGAGCTCTGCATTATCAGCAGTAGCAGTCACTGTTTACAAATTCGCGCTTTCTCTTTAAAGTACTCAACCGAAATTTATTTTTTCGGGGATTTTTTCCAGACTGAGTGATGACAGTCTGTATCATGCTTAAACGCAATTTTCACGTTCTATCCCTGATAATTTACCCATAAATATAGCATAGCTAAAAATTGCATTTTTAACACACACACACACACACACACACACACACACATATATATATATATATATATATATATATATATATATATATATATATATATATGTGAACATAGAAGTCAACACTTAGAGGCGACAGTCTGTTTCATGCTATATGTAATCGTCAGGCCACCTTAAGACTATATTTCTTCATATATATATATATATATATATATATAATCATTATTAGAGTGAATGAAAGTTTTGATGTCTTTGTTTAACAAACACTACCTGTGATATCACCGTTTACATAAATAACTAGTAAACATTAAACAAATATATTCTCACTTATAAAAAAAATATATATTTATTCATAAAAGCAACGACACATATTTACGATAGAAAATAGAATCACATGTAATGGAGATATCCCAGTACCTCCGCAGTCTTTGAGAAAAGAAGTAATTAAATCTGTGCACGATGATATACATGGAAGTATATTGGTTATACAAATGAGGTTAATGCTACAAGCATGGTGACCTGCCTATTCAAGAAATGTGTTAGTATATTAGAAAAAATTCCAAAAGTGTGCAGAAATAAAGAAATTTAGGCAAACTAGAATTCACTCTTGGGCAAAGGAAATGAAACCGTGGACGCGAGTACATATGGAGCATACCTACATTAAATGTATATGACTATTTCTGATATTAGTGGACACATATTCAGGTTGGCCTGAAGTTATTAAATTCGCGGATAATGTTTGTGTCTTGACTCTTTATAAAACATCTCAACCAGAGAGCAATTACTCTATATATTCCTTTTTATTCTATCCAGAATTCTATTCAACACTGCATCCTGCTTACTCTCCAACATAAGTCGATTTAAGGGTAATACGCCCGTTTCTATCCAGTGCAAAATCTCATCCTCATAATTTTCAGTTGCTTCAACATTTTTACTACGAAAATTTAACCGAGATAATGAATCCACATGAGGGACAGTATTTCCTTTAATATATACGATGTCAATGTCGAATGCCATAAGCTTAATCGCCCATCTTAATATCCTGGCATATGTGATGTTTGGCAACTCTGGGGTTGAATATAAATTCCAAAGGCTTATGAACAGATTTTAATATAAATTTCCTTCACAACAAAAAATGTCTAGCTCTTTCTGTGTTCCACACAATTGTCAATGCTTCTTTCTCAATATCTGAATAATTCGCCTCCACTGATGTTAGTTTTTTGTTTTTTTTTGTTTTTTGATTTTTTTTTTTTTTTTTTTTGGATAAGTACATTACAGTGTGATTATCCTGCGACAATATTGCAGCTATAGCACAGTCACTAGCATCAGTAGTTAACGTCAATTCTTTCGCCGGGTCGAAAATTTTAACAACCGGTTTGTTTATAAGTGCCTTTTTTAATTCCTCGAAAGCGATCTTCTGTCTTTTTGTCCACTGAAACTCAATATTCTTCTTTATTTTGTTAAATGGTTCCACAAGATCACTATATCACGGTAGAATTATACTGTTATAGAAATTGATTAATCCTAAAAAGATTCTAACTTTTCTTATTTCTGAGGGCAGCTATCTCTGATATTTTATTATTGAGTTTATCATCCAGTGAGATACCGTCTTTGGATATTTGATATCCTATGTATGAAATTCTCGCATTTATCGAGATTGTCATACCCGCGCTTTTTAAGTTTCTCAATTTCTTGCCCCGTTTTACTTTTGAGCTCTTCTTTACTGCGTATACCAATACCAATGTTGTCCTGATATACAGTTATATTCTAAATCCCTTATAAAACTTTTTCGATGGCTTTTTGGAAAATGTGCAAACGACTCCATCTTAGTAATCTAATAGTGGTGTTCATTGTGGTGACTTGCTGTCAATGTTTATCTGATTATATACTGACTTAAGGTCAACTTTAGCAAAGTATTTCATACCAGAAAACTCATGGCACGCTGTTTCAGTGTTTGGTAATGAGAATGAATCCAAACAGATCTGGTGTTTCACGCCCACCTTATAATTGCCACATATTCTCAAATTTCCATTAGGCTTGTGTATCGCCACAATGAAGCCCAATTGATACCACCCTGACTGATATTTTTTTAATGTTCCTTGTTCCACCATTTTGTTCAGCTTAACAATCACCAATGGTAGCATCTGAACAGGAACTGTTCGATCTTGAACATACATGTGTTGGCTGTTTTCTGTAAGCCGAATTCTTGACTCGTACCACCTTAATAATCCAATATGCGGTTCTATAGACTTCTTGAAATTTACCAGCTTTGACGTATCCCCATATTAACACATCAATTCCTAAAATACCATGAGGTTTTATGTTTTCCACCATTATGATGGGTATTATCTCGAATCTGTTTTTGTCTCAAACGTGTTTTCAAAGCATTCTAAAATTTCGATGATTGACCTATCAAACTGTTTCAACTGGAGATTACTTTTTCTTAAATTTGGGTTACCCATTCTTTCCCCAAAATTCCTCGGTATCAACGTAATATCACTTCCGGTATCCATCTGCATAAGTAAAGTTACTCTGTTCAACTTCGCCATTTCCCTACTTTTATCCTGTGCTTTTATCTAAAATATTTCTGTACTTTCAATTGGAGGATCTATATTTTCCACTTGTTTTTCATAGGTGCATACCGCCTGGAAATGATTCTTCCTCCTCCTTCTTCTTACCTCATACAACCTATTTTCTCGCCCTCCTTACCTCATACAACCTCCTTGATCGCCATCTTCATCTTCCCCCCTACCTCATAAAACCTCCCTCCTTTACCTCTCTTTCCTTCATACAACGTCTTTTGACTCACTCCACTTCCTCCTCCTTATCTCATACTACCTTCTTTTTCGCCCTCTTCTTCTTACCTCATACAACCTCTTTTCTCGACTTCTTTTCTCCCTCCTTCTCATACAATCTCCTTTCTCGCCCTCCTTTTTCTCCTCCTTACCCCATACAACCTTCTTTCTCGCCCTCCTCTTCTTACATCATACAACCTCTTTTCTCGCCCTCCTTTCTCTCCTCCATACCTCATACAACCTCCCTTCTCTCTCTATTCTTCCTACCTCATTTCAACCTCATTTGTCACACTCCCCTTCCTTCTTCCCACCTCATACAACCTCCTTTTCAACTTCCTCTTCCTACTTCTTACCTCATAAAACACCCCCTATCCCTCCTCTTCATTCTTCCTACCTCATACAAACCCCTTTCCCTTCCATCATTTTTTCTCTGCTTTCGTTTATTTTATCCACCTTTCTTCGTCTTCTTTACATTATTTCTTTCTTTTTATTTTATACACACACACACTTCTCTCTCTCTCTCTCTCTCTCTCTCTCTCTCTCTCTCTCTCACTCGCTTCCCACTTTTCCTGTTATTTATTCTCTTGCGTTTTCTTATACTTCGTTCATATGTTCTTCACCGTCTCTTTTCACAATTCTAAATAAACCATTCCTCTCAACGCAGCAGGACCAGACCAGACCTTTACTTATATAAAAATGTATTCGTTGTTCATATAACCAAAATACTTTATGATTTACAAGCGCCAGACTGTCTAACCAGATTGTTTCTTTCTTTTACTCTAGCCTGCTTTTAGTGCGTTCTTTTCTCATTGATGTAAATCCAAAGCCAAGGATTAGCTAAAAACTTCTTTGCCTTAATCCGCAGTGAAAAGAATATATTCAGAGGATTTGCCCACGAATCTTTTATATGATCTTAAGTCTTCACGCCAACATGAATAATTACGAGATTTTTTTCCTACTTCACAGAAAGGGTACAGTTTGATTTCCAGAGATTTTTTTTCTTATATTTAAGTTTCAAAGTTATTTAAATCTGGAGAAAGAATGAATTTTAGTTCTGTGAGCTTCTCATAATAGAAAAGATTGGCCAACATTTCTTAAATATGTTTTCATGTCTTTTCAAATCTGACTACTATAGGACATTTGAAATTTTACTACCAGTGGACCTGCCGCGCGCAAGATGGACGCCGCCGCGCGCACATAAGGAAAGAGGGCTTGGGAAATTTTGATACTCACAGGACAGATTGAGGGCAAGAGGGACAGAGGAAAACAAAGCAGAATCTACCTAGCGATATTGAGTAAACGGAAAGTATATACATTTCATTTACCTCCCACCACCGATACATTTCCAATAACCTTCCTTTTTTTTCATAGTTTATCAATATATAGAAATATAATAAAGTTCTATCAAACAGTAAAATTATGATAGATTAATTAATATCTTAAAATGTATTACCGAGTATGACTGGTTAGATAGATAGATAGATAGATAGATAGATAGATAGATAGATAGATAGATAGATAGATAGATATGAAAAGAATGCGATAAACAGAGATGAACAACTTAGATAGATAGATAGAGAGAGAGAGAGAGATATGAACACATAGAATGTCCGGAAAGTTCATGTCGGTTTTTAGATGTTTGTTCCAAAATGTTAGAACACATCAAAATTATCAACAGATATAATATGCTCACCTTTCTGATTAGAGCACACTTCAAACTATCTCTTGAGAAAGAACGTTTAAAATAAAAATAATCTGAGTCAATTTTGCATCCCTATGAAAATGGAAGATTATAAGGTGTATTTTAGACACTAGATGATTTTTTTTACTGCAAAGGCAAATTGCATCGCAAGCGACAAGAATCCTGTGTACGATGAAGTTGCTTCAGCTGACAGAACTGTACGAAAGTGGTTCACGAAGTTTAGATTTGGTGATTGTAGCCTTATTGATGAAAAACACTCAGGCAAAGCCCCACCCACTACAGATAACGACCAAATCAAGAGATTGATTGAGAATAACCTGCATTGCACCACGCGGGTATTGTCAGAAACATTAAATTTATCAAAATCCACCATCCATGAGCATTTAGTGAAGCTTGGGTACTCAAATCGCTTTGATGTTTGGGTACCACATGATTTGAGAGTAAAGAATCTTTTGGAGTCAATTGATTTTGTGTTGCTCGCAGTTGGACGAATTAAAGGCAGCAATTTAAGAAAAACACCCAGAATTGGCGAACAGGATAGGTGTTGTTTTCCATCAGGATAATACCAGACCTCACATTTCTTTGGCGACCCGGCAAAAATTGTTGCAACTTGACTGGGATGTATTACACCACCCGCCATATTCACCTGACATCACTCCTTCGGATTTTCATTTATTCAAGTCCTTGCAACATAATCTCAATGGTAAAAAATTTTAATTATTTGGATGACATAAAAAACAGCTTAATGATTTCTTTGCCGAGAAACCATCGAAATTCTGGGAAGATGGAATGTTTAAGATAAAGGGAAAATCTAGAAAGATTGCGCAGCAAAATAGCTCATATTTAACTCAATAAATATTTAATGGCATACTTTTGTTTTGCGCTGAAATTTTCCTTAAAAATCGTCATTTATTTTCCGGACAATAGATAGATAGATAGATAGATAGATAGATAGATAGATAGATATGAAGAGACTGAGATAGATAGATAGATAGATAGATAGATAGATAGATAGATAGATAGATAGATAGATAATCATCGAATTCGTTTTATTCCCATTTATCTGAGGCATGTAGGTAATTGCGCAGATCTTTATGTTCACGTCAACCTTGTCAGTAAATGTTGTGTCTTTATTTTTGCTCAAAACACTAAAATAATAAATTATTTCCAAAATGGTGAAGTTTCATTCCTTTTTTCCTGTCGTTTCTTTTGGCTTTTCAAAGTATTTTGACGGGAACCAAAACAAAATGAGAGAAAGAAAACATTTCCATCGAACGAAACAATTTATCTGCTCCTGGTTTTACTTTCATTCATACGCACTATCTGCTTACTCTTGTGATTTGGCGTTGATAAGAATAGATAGATAGATAGATAGATAGATAGATAGATAGATAGATAGATAGATAGGGCGTTATCAAGGCAAATGCCTTAATAAAGTCCCTTGGAGGTCGGAACGCGTCGGCGAAGTTTTCCTTTTGTCTTTACTCATATTGTCCTTTTACAGATATACTCTGAAATTTTACACATATACGCACAAATACAAGATACGAATTGATTACGTTAAAATCGAGAAAGTACAGAAATTTGATTATCTGGGAAATTTCATAACAGGCATCAGAATTTGCGACACCGAAATATGAAGGCGCACCGAGGTAGCAAAAGATGCCATCTTGACAAAATGAAATACGAGCACAACCTCGGTTCTCGAACGTCTCACATGTCGAACAATTCGGTTTTCGAACAGAAAATTCGAGTTGAAAACGCCTCGGTTATCCGACAAAATTTTGATTCTTAAACAACATTGCCGAACCGAGTTAACCCGAACGGAATAATTTCTGAGTCGACAGCTGTGTTGTATACATTCGTGTGTTGTGTTGTGCTTTTTATTTCCAATTTTATTGTACTGTTATAGTAATTTACCCACGCACACATGGACTCTCCCAACTATAAATAGGAGCAGGTACTGCCTTTCCAGCAGTCAGCTCTGACAATCGCACCGAACATTCTTGCTGTAACATTCTCGTTTGTATATGTTTATATTACTGTTTCTGTTATTATATTTGTTTAACTCAATTTCTCTCTTTGTGTCTTTATTTCTGGCCCTAACAAGGCCACAACATACTGTGACCTTTATATATATATATATATATATATATATATATATATATATATATATATATATATATATATATAATTATTAATAATTATCGCAATCGAATTAAGTTGACTCCCCATGAAAAATTATTAACTGTAGAACAACATTTCCGCCTAGAAAAACACAATTTCAATACCCATGCCAAATTCACTATAATTGAGAGAAAAGATAAGTTCAGAGCAGATAATATTAGAAAGATTTTAGAGTTCTATGAAAATAAGTGGATACAACGTTTAAAAACACACTATCCAGCCGGGCTAACCCATAAATTTAACAATATAGATAGTGTTAATATATGACCCTACAAATCAAAACCTACCCACATTTCTCACCCACACAAGACAGACATGCTTACGGAGGCCTCACACTTATACGCAGACCCACACGAACATACACACTTACACACATCATACTCACTCACTCCCTAATGAGCCAAATGATAACACACACCCACAGCAATATACAAGCTTACATATATCATACTCACTCACTCCCTAAGAACCAAATAACACACACACACACACACACTTAACAGAGACACATCCCCTCTCCAGGAACCAATAAAACTGTCAAACTGACCAGGGTAATTCAGAGCAGCATGGATCCATCCAGCTCTTATTTCAAATAACAACTTAAAAGAGACTGTTTGACCAACACAAGGAATGGTAAAAGATTCATGTTAAAAAGATTAAAAAAAATTAAAAAAACAAATGAAAACTACAGACAAAAGTTCATTTTCTCCATCAAAACATTCATTTGTGTATTTCACTGCTACCAGCAAGCAGAAATATTTCTTCTCCTGATGATGACCATGTTGGCCGAAACCAGTCGAGGAATCTAAATAATAATAACGAAAGAATAGTAATCTACAACCCAGTGTGTCTGAAGATTTTAATTTTTGAATATTTTTTATTGTTCAATATATATATATATATATATATATATATATATATATATATATATAATTCATTACACATTTCCTGTTACTTTAATCTAAGTTAAATCTCCCGTAGAGGCCTGAAGAGCGGGAGCGAAACCGGTATATATATATATATATATATGTAATAGGCCGGTTAACAAAATTTGAAGAATAAAAAATCAAGAAAATGTTATCAATATTGTCAATAAAATTGACATCTATCATATATTAACCTTTTGATTGAATTGAACCACGAAGGGACAGAGTTTAATGTCAGAATTTTCGAATACGCCTGTGTTCTTTTTCAACGATACGAGGAATAAACGAAGATGTGGGACTTACTCTTCCGAGGGATATTCTTGGTTAGAAGTCTCCCTGTGGAAATTATACTCTCTGAGTAAATCCAAATCCCTGTTTGAATATATTTTGAAAATAAATTTCAACTCCGATCTGCGTCTTTCTTCTCATCGACGCAATGAAATGGTTTGTTGAAGTGTACAGCGACAGAAAAAGTGTGGTTATTGCCCTTGTTGTTTTTTTTTTGTTTTGTTTTTTGTTTGAAAGTACTCGGAATAACTGAATATGTATCAACATGGTAATTTTCTCTCTTCCTTCAATAAGGATACTAAAAGGATTGCCCCTGAATATGAGAGGATCCTATTGAAAATAAGTAGAGAACACTTGTCTAAATTATTCAATGAGATATGTCTTAATGAAAACATGCTGCCGAAATTTACGCAATATATATATATATATATATATATATATATATATATATATATATATGCAGGTAAGATGGGAACAAATACAGTACAATTTCAACGTTCGTGCCATTTAATTTAAAAGAGGGTTCAGTATAAAGTAG